AAGAAGAAGAAACTACACAATCACGCACAAATATTTAATTAAGTTTTCTTCCAGTTATTTGATTAATATCATAAATTTGTGACCAATCCGTACGAGTATATCGAAATAATGGCATTAATTGAAAGAAACCAAATGTTTCAAGAAAATTTTTTAATAATTGATTACGAAATGGATTAACAAATTTTCCTGTATTTTCATCACGAAAATAACTATAACGAAAGCCTGTTAAACGTTCATTTAATGTTACACCTAAATATATCGAATTGTATAAATGAAATGATGTCATTAATGTAACCCATATTGAATTAAATGAATTTAATAAGAGAATATAATTAAACCAAGGATCGAAAATCATTGTAAAGATTTCTCCAAATGTATTATTTTGATGATAACCAGATATATGACTAATTGCTTCACTCATCCAAAAAATAAGTCCCATTGTAGCACATGTTAATAGACGAATAAAATAAAAATAATTACGGCCACCAATGCATGCATCAAGCCTAAAGAAATAGATATAATTTAATATATGTGAGTAGAATATTTTTTTTTATATGAATAGCTCAAATCTTTCTTTTCAGAACACTTACCATGTACAATGATGATCAAATTTCGATACACATGTTCCATCAACTGGACAATGTTTTGATCTTAATGGTCGACGTATAAGACAAGTAACACAAAAATGATCCAATGTCCATCTTGGATCACGTGCAAATGTTGTACAAATTTTTTCTCTTGTTAAACTATTTCCATCAATATTCATTGATTGTTGTTTTAAAAATCCTGGAGTATATTTGTTAATACAATGAAAAGAATAAAGACCATAAAGTGTTACAAAATGATAACAAATATGTTTTAATGTCCACCTATTTTCTTGTAAATATGCCATATATGTTCCATACATAAGTAATGTTGATGATAAAACATATGCAAATGCTAAATTATCTTTTGTATGATCATCAAATACGAAATAATTGAATATATGTGCAAACATAAATATAAGTATTATTGGAAATAATATACGTATCAAATAAGAATATTCAGTTGAATTAGCTGATAAACCAATTAATGTCATACATAAAAACATATAAAATCTTGTTAACCATTTTCGTACAAATTCATTTGTTACAAATCGTTGGATAAATTTTGGTTTTACATTAGCTTTAGCTGATTGTAAACGATCTTCTAATGTTTCAACAGCTTCTAAATTTTGTCTTATACGTGCAAATGTTAATACATCAAAATTATCATTATTTTTTAAATTTAAATTTATTTGTGGACTTTTAAGTAAAACATGAAAACTTATTGGATTTCGATTATTTATGGCAAAATGTATAGGTGTATATTGTCGTGTTGGCTCTTGATAATTTATATTTGCACCAAATGTTAAAAGAAATTGTGTACAACAAACATGTGTTGCATTTGCTATTGGAGTATAATTTTGTGGTGGACCAAGACATGAATATATTAATGGTGTAAAACTTCTTCCATCATAACAATCAACATCAATACCAGAACCAAGTAAATAAGAAAGAATTTTTATTTGTCCATATTGAGCTGCGAGATGGATTGGTTGAACTAGATTAACATCAGTTGAGTGTAATGATGCACCATTATCAACGAGAATAAAAAATGCTTCTATACAACCTTGTCGACCTAGAAATGTAACAATAGATGATAACGAATAAAGTTTAATGTTTTCTTTTCATGATTTTGTATATAGAAGAGATAAGATTGAAAGAAAAGGTCAAACTATTTAAAAACACATCATCATCAATCATAAACTAACTCATGGTATAGAATTAGTTTTTGAAATCTACTATGTTCAACTCTTTCATGTAGAATTAGTTGAAACAATTGATTACTAAAAAAAAGTCATTTCACGGTATATCGAAAATACTGATTAAAATCTAACGATAACATATTTATAGTTATTATTATAAACTGTAAAAATAAAAGAAAACATACGTCAATGAGTTGTAACTATACGTATTTATTTACTATTCTCCTTCTTTCGTTTATAATACCTCGATTGTTATGAAATTTTTTTAAAGCCTGTCTCTCACTAGTATTATATGGATTAAAAATAAAAATTTTACATACATGCCCAATGTAGTGGAGTAGATTGAAGGTCACCACCTTTAATATCAACTGATGCACCTTTTGAAATTAAATATCGAATTATTTCAACATGATTATTAATAGCTGCCCAATGTAATAAATAACATCCTTCTTCATCAGGTGTATTCACATCTGTTTGTCCGGATTCAATAATTTCTTTTGCTCGATCCAATTCATTATATTGTATAGCTTGAACAATAGACATTTCTGCTGGTGATGGTTTTGGTGGTGGCTCAGGAACAGGTTGAGAAAAATGTGCTGGTGTATGAGCATGACCACATGATGACGAATGATTATGTGAATGTCCATGTTTACCTGCATTAGCAGCTGCAGCAGCAGCCGCAGCAGCAAATAAATGTTCACCTCCTGTTTCCATTATTTCAGGATTCATTGCTTGTAAACGTGCAAACATTTGTGGATTGACTTGTTGTAAATGAGCAAGCATTGCTGCTTGATCTTTTGGTGACAATTGTGGACGAATTTGATTATTATCCATTTCTGATAACTTTCTTTCTTAATATTCACCTTGTCTAGATCGTTATTTTGCGGTTGTCAACATCATCATCATTATTGTTGCTACTACTAAATCTATCAAACCTGAAAGGAAAGAAAAAAAAACAAAACTTTGAGTTTTTTTTTGTTAATCACTCTTCCAATCTATAGAAACGAATGATTTGTCTTGACAACAGTAATAAGTGACAAAAAAATTTTTAATGAAAAAAACAATATGTTGTTTTTATTTTCGTTTTTTTTTGTAATTAATTTTAAGTAATAACTATAATAAGTCATCATTATACAAAAAGTCGTTTTATTTGCATTAACATTTCATTGGATCTTTTCTTAACCAATCAAAAGATTAGATGTGATAGTTTCGTGAGTGAAAGATAATATATAATTCATTTTTTTTTCTACAAGATTATATATATTTCTTTCAGATGTCTCTACCATTTTTTTTCTTGATATAACTGGTTTTTGTTGACAGTTTGTATGAAACATTAAAAAGTTTTATTTTATTACTAAAAAGGGAAAACGACAAAGTTATATTAGATTTCTTTTTTTCATCAAGGTTTGTATGTAATATATTTTATTTGTAAATCATTTGGTTAGTGCATATAATTCTCTTGAGATATTCATCAATCGAATAGAAATAATCTTTCGAATCAACGAAAAATATACGTTAAAATGAATCTACTTAGTTATTTTGACTGGAAAATTATGATTATAACAAAAAACCCATATATTTTTTTTTATTATATTATAGATAAATCACCTATGGATATCTTAGGTTTAGGATCAAAAGTTGATGTTGAATTTCTACTTGATCCTCAAGGTCAACGTAAACAGATTGAAGTTAAAATTGATGAAAATAAACGATCATTGCAATATATTTATTATGATGGTGAAGATGTGAATGGAACAGTAAGACATAAAATAAATATATATTTGCATTTTTTATATAAAATATATTTAGATACAAATTAAATTAAAGAAAAATAGCAAAATAGAACATCAAGGGATTCGTCTGGAATTTATTGGACATGTTGGTTAGTATGATTACTTTTTTTTCTGTTTATGACATTTTTGTATTTAATAGAAATGCTTAATGATCGAAGTACAGTTCATGAATTTTTAAATCTATCAAAATTACTTACATTTCCTGGTGAATTAACTGAAAGTACATCTATGGATTTTGCCTTTCAAAATGTTGAAAAACCTTACGAATCCTATATTGGTATTAATGTTAAATTGAGGTAATTTTAATTGATCAATAGTTTTTGTTTTTTCTTAAAATGTCTATTCTTTAGATATTTTCTTCGTGTAACAATTATAAAACGTTTTTCTAATAATGTCTTTGAACGTGATATATGTGTTCAACAATTATCACAATTTCCCGAAATAAATAATAGCATTAAAATGGAAGTTGGTATTGAAGATTGTTTACATATTGAATTTGAATATAATAAATCGAAATATCATTTAAAAGATGTTATTGTTGGAAAAATTTATTTTCTACTTGTTCGAATTAAAATAAAACATATGGAAATAGCCATATTAAAAAAAGAAAATACTGGTAGTGGACCAAATATTTATGCTGAAAGTGAAACAATTGCAAAATATGAAATTATGGATGGTGCACCAGTTCGAGGTAATAATAAAGACAACAAAAAATGAAAGCTTTTCTATTAATTTTTATTATTTAGGTGAAAGCATTCCAATTCGTTTATTTTTGGCTGGTTATGATTTAACACCAACAATGAGAGATATTCAAAAGAAATTTTCTGTTCGATATTTTCTTAATCTTGTTTTAGTTGATGAAGAAGAACGACGTTATTTTAAACAACAAGTTATTTGATTAATTTATTTATTAAAAAGATATAATATTGTTGTATTTTTAGGAAATTGTTCTTTGGAGAAAACAAGAAAAAGATAAAGATAAATCGAAACAATCAGCTCAACAATATGCTCATTATGAACGACCTGAAGCAGCAACTAATAAATCCGAAGATAATGGAACAGGAGCAAATTCTGGTGAAAATTCATCTGTTAATGGACCTTTATCATCAGAAAATAATAGTGATATACCCAGTGATTGATAATCAACATTCTATACATATAACACAAAAGAAAGAAAAAACCAAACTATTCATTTCCGCATTTATAAGTTTTATTTATTTGTCTTGATTATTCTATTTTTGTTTGTTTCTTTTCGTCTTTTCATGTGTTGTTTTTTTTCCTACAGATTTTCTTATGATGATGATTTCGTGTAAGAGTGAAAAATTACTTTTTATTTGATATGCAATTAGCTACTCTTAACGATTTGTTCTAAGTAACACACATTCATTGACCTAGTCGGTTCTTAACTTGATTATCGTTTGTTTTCTTCTTCTTATATTCTCCTTTTAATTTTATCTTCTAATATCAATAACAAAAAAAAAAGAGAGAGGAGAAATTCCATTGTAATTTTAATTTTTAATATTTCTTGCAGACTAATGGTCGAACTTAATTCAGATAAATCACTCTCATGTAAACTATGTTCTGATGAAACAACGAAAAATTTATGCATAGCAAATTGTATTGGATGTAAAGATCTATTTTGTTTTGATCATTTACTTCAACATCGAAAACAATTATCAAATGATATTCATCAATTAATTCAACGTCACAATGATATTAATGAAAAATCATTTCCACAATTAACTGTTAGTCAACATGTTGAATATATTGATAAATGGGAAAATGAAACAATTGAATTAATTCAAACACATACAAAATATGTTAAAGAAAAAATTCAAACTATATTTCATACATATAAAACAGAATTAAAAAAATTTCATACAATGTTAGGTGCCGAACTTGATAATAAACAAAATACAAGTACATGTATTGAACAGAATCTCACAGATTTATCACAACAAATCGAACAATTAGATAAAGAAATTCATCGTATGAATAATGTTATACAACAAATGACGAATAATGAATTAAATCAAATAGTAAAAAGTATCAATTTATCAGCAAATACAATAGGTAAAACAATACAATGGAATTATTCACATGAAATAAAACTTGATTCAACATATGGTTATATGGCAGCTAATCATCGACAAATATTTCTTGGTTGGAAAAATCGTATTGTTATTTATAATATAAATGGTACAAAACATGATGAAACACGTTTACAATCAACTGAAACCTATGGTGAATTATGTGATTTAATATGGTCATCAACAATGCAACGATTTTTTATTTTATGTCAAAAATCATTATTTGTTCATTATCCATCGAGTAGTCAAGTTGAAATTTTATCGAATATATCATTAATTAATCAAGATAATGAATATATATCAATAACAACAAATGAAAATAATTTATTTATATTAAATAAAAAATCACTTGAAATCTGGAAATTAAATAATAAACTATTTCAATTAGATAATACAATATTAATAACATTTATTATTAAAAATCCATATGATGAAAATATTTGTTCAATACGTGCTAATGAACAAAATTTAGCTGTACTTATACAAAATAATAAAACACATACATGGCGTTTAGATTTATTTAATTTTTATCCATTTCATCGTACTCATATGGGTACATCATTTGATCATTATAATCAAGAAAATCTTGGTTCAATTACAGCATTTACAAATAGTACATATTTATTTATGAATTGGGAAACAAAATTAATGCGTATGATTGATCAAAATAATTTAAATGAAATTATTGATTATAATGCGTATAATGCATGTTTATTAGATACTCAACGTATGCTTGTTGTGAATTATATGACTTATTTAAAAGTCTATTCATTTTGAACAAAATATTGATAATATAGTATTTTTTTTCTTTCTCTTCCTTTTTTTTTGTTAGATCTAGTTTTGTTTTATTGTGATATATTTGAAATTCATTACTTCTATTTGCTCAACTGATATCCTCAGACATCTGAATATTTTCTGTATTTACTTTTTTTTTCTAGATGAGTACATCAAATAATATTAATAAACGTGTTAGTCATTTAGTTGTGGATTCGAGTGCATTTATTCGACAGGCACCATTACATGTATGTTTTTTTAGTTGTTAATTTTTGAAATGAGTATGAGATTTAAATTTAGAATTTAACTGATGTTGTTTATACTGTGGAAGATGTTGTGAAAGAAATACGTGATATAAAAACACGTGAATCACTCAATGTTGTTCTCTACACATTAAAGTTCAAAGAACCAAGTACTGATGCTATCCGTTTTGGTAATTTTGTTTTTAGAACGATTTTTATAAACTAAAATAATTCTTCTTGTATATTAGTAACAAATTATGCAAAGAAAACTGGTGATTATGCATTTTTATCAGCTGTTGATCTTCGATTATTAGCATTAACTTATCAACTTTATGAGGAAAATGTTGGAACTGATAAGCTCAATTTAGAACCAAAAATGAATGTAAATTTATCTAGAAATTAATAAGAATGAAATGTAGATATTTGGTTTTTTTTTAAATACAGGCTTCTGTAGCAAATGCAACAACAACATTTGGAAATGCCGGTGTCAAATTAGCTGGTTTCGTTTTTCCAAAGAATGTAATAGAAATAAATACAGAATAGTCGAACATAATTAATTGTGTTTTTAATTAAAGGATGAAAAGAGTGATGAACAATCGGTGAAATCAACGACTGATAATGCTGTTGAAAAAGAAGAACAAATAGTAGAAAATAATAACGAAGAAGTAGATGAAGAAGATGCAGAAGAAGAGGAAGAGGAGGAGGAAGAAGAAGACAATGATAATGAAGATATTCAATCATTCGTTACAGCACATGACAATGAACATGATCGATTAACAGAATCAGTAAATGATTTACATCTTGGTCATGATGATGATGGTAAGGCAAACAATATTGATATACATATATATTTAAATTATTTATTGTGTCTTTGCAAAAGGTTGGATCACCCCATCAAATATCAAATATGTCAAATCAAAAGCTCTAGATAATGGAACAACAGATAATAGTGAAACAGTTCATGAAACTTTACCTGTTGCTTGTATTACTACTGACTTTTCTATGCAGGTATATATATTTTTATATTTATTTATTTATATAATAATTAAATTTTCTTTCAAGAATGTTCTTATTCAAATGGGTATTCCTATTCTTTCTGTTGATGGTCTTCTCATTCGAACAGCTCGTAGTTATGTATTAAAATGTCGTGTTTGTCCAGGGTAAGAATTAGACTATTATTTATTTCTTTAATATCAATTTTGTATATGTAGTGTAACTTGTCAAATGAAAAAACAATTCTGTCCTGAATGCGGTAATCCATCCTTACAACGAGCTAGTGTAAGTACTGATGCATCTGGTCAACGTCATTATCATTTAACAGGTCGTTATCGACCAAAACCTCGTGTATGTAGATTTATATAAATTATAAAATCATCTATATGATTTTATTTTAGCAATCATTACCATTACCTCGAGGTGGTAAACATCCAAACAATCCAATACGTGTTGAAGGTCAACCACGACCACAAAATCGACCAACAAGAAAAGCTTTAATGAAAAGACATGTACTCGATGACGATTATCTTGCTAATACTTCACCGTTTGCTGTTCATGATATTTATAGTCGTGCAGCAACACTTGGTATTAAACCAACAAAACGATAATGAATCATATAGACACACATATATATGTATACATATAGAGATATATGAAGTGTTTTCTGTTTTTCTTTTGTTTTGTTTGTCACTTGTTTTCATCTGTATGTGACTACTAGTAAAAGAGAGAAAAGAAAATAAATATATATGATGAACTATGCCTTATGTCTGATATGATAAACAATGGAAAATACATAAGAGAGAACGAAAGATAAATTTGTAGACGTGTACAAACGTTTTTTTTCCGTCTAACTGTTATCGATAAAACGAGTTCGCCGATGCTTTTTATCACAAATTTGTGAGAAAAACAAAATCAAAAAAGTAAGTTTATATGATCAGTCCATTATTTATTAATTTTTATTTATGTTTGTCAGTGTCCGATTTTGATCAATCAGAAACGTTGGAGACAAGTCCAACAGTATTAACACGTGATTTTGTTGGTCTATGTATTGGCATTCTTACTGTTGTGATTGTCATCTTTATTGTAGCAATATGTAAATGGTCTCGTTGTCTCTGTTTAAAACGTCACATTGAAAATGATGAACAAAATGAAGTGTTCTCATCTATTCTACAACATAATGCATCAACACCACATCCACATTCACGACATCAACAAAATTATAATCATCATCAACAATCACAACTACAAGTACAACAACAACAACGATCATCATCATGTGATCATCGTCCTGATCGTATCTATAGACATATAAGTAATAATAGAAATGATAATATTATTTCACCAGTACAATCTACTAATAATGCATATCGTTTGAATGATATTAAAGTACCTCGAGTTACAATAACAACATTACCAGTACAACCTACACAACAACTTGTTCCACGTCTTTCGATCAGTCCACAAGTATCCGGCTCATCGATTGCACGCAGTACATATTCACTTAAACAGTAACTTTTAAACAGTTCATATTTTTCTTTTTCTTTTTCCTTTTCTGTATTTTTTCTGTTCTGTTACTGTGGAAGAGAAAAAGGCTTTATACAACAAAATATGTCTTATATTGATGAT